TGCTGCTTGTGCTGCTTGTGCTGCTTGTGCTGCTAATACTGCTAGTACTGATAGTACTGCTCGTGTTTCTGGTATTGCTCGTGCCACTACTACTTTTGCTTGGTGCGCTCCCCGTGAAGGACGTGCTTGTGCTCGAAACTGTGCTTGATAGACGAGTCGATTGTGTCGATTGTGTCGATTGTGTCGTTTGTGTCATCGGTGTCATCGTCAGACTACCACTTGATGTCAAGGACCTAGAAGTCGTCGACTGCGTGCTAGCCGTGGTAATGCTCGACGATATAGTCGAAGGCGAACTCGACGTCATCATCACGGTTGATAAAGGTGATGTGATAGCACCACTAACACATTGATTCGCGCGATAAATGACAATATCGACGAGTGTGCAATTGGCAGGGCTCCCATTTTGAGAAAACAGTACGTAAATCTGGGTATCGGCGGTTTGGCAGAACCTGGCAACTCCATTATAGAACGTCTCATTAGTCCATGTTAAGCGATCGTTTTGAATAGAAAATGCAGTGCTGATTGAACCCCCTGGAAATGTGACCAAGTTTGTAAAATTCACTCCTGGATCGACAGAGAGTGGTCGTGTGGCTCTGATAAGCTGCCCCTCGGACAAGACGTATAGCTCAGCATTAGAGCAATTGTCGGGATGGTCAAGCACGGAGCTTCCAATGAAACCTCTCATGTCTGGAGCCACCTGCCGCTGCTGGTGCCATTTTCCCAACTCCCTAGCAGCTTGCCTCGCTGTCGATGGTGCGGCTATAATGGAAGGTGTTGAGTCGATACTGAGAATGACATAAGAGGTGGGCACTGTTGCAGTGAAACCTGGTGCAGCATTATTTAGTTCAAGCCCTGCATGTTGTGAGCGTGAAAGTTCGTACCTGTAGAAGCACTGATCAACGTCGACAGACCTGTACTGGTTCTGGTTGATGTAACTTTGGTAACCGTGGTGAGAGTGATGACGGAAGAATGTGAATTCGTCGTGATAACCGTCGTGATCGAGAGGATCGATGTAATGATTGACGTAGTGGAAAAGGCCGTGGTTGTGAGTTCTTCCGTCTCGATCTCAGTAACATTTCCCTCAAACGATTGGGTTAGTATATCCGTCAAGGTGACGGTGTCAGTTGAGGAGGTCGTTAATGTCAAGTCATCAGTAATCGTAGCTGTTTCTGTGAGATCCTCGGCCACGGTAGTAATAGATGTGAGATTATTTGTCACTGAAGTCGTTACAGTCTGGGTACGTGTGGCTATAATAACCTCTCCATCAGCCGTCAGGCTGGTTTCGGTGACGGTGAGTGTATCAGTGTCCGTGTCGGTTAGCGAGTTGACATCGCTAATACTGGCTGTAGATGTTGTTTTGTCACTTGAGAGAGTATCCGTGCTGGTCGCCGTGTTCTCAGTAGTTCGGGTTTTCTCTTCATCTGCATAACCTCTGCCAATGCTACTTTTCAAAGTAGGTCGCTGGTGTGGGTAACCATGTCCTGGTACCGAGGGCACGACCTTCAAGATTGTAGTCATGTAAGTCTGGCAAATAGTTTGACGTTTTGTGTGTAAATCCTGCAGACTGCCCGCTTGCCCAGCTAACAAGCTGTACACGGCAAATGAGAGAAGCAGCTTCCCAAGAGGCATTGCTTCGGATTATGCGGCAGATGGTGGTTCTGCACAAGAGCAACATTGTCATTTCTTTGCATATCATCAAAATCCAGGAACGTGCATCTTGAAATTTCATCCTGCAGCACATTGTACTCGCGGTGTAACACATGGTCTCTGCCCTACGATGCGCCGTTAAGGAACCTAAGTCTCAATCTTGACCATGATAAAACATGTCCCTGGCATATGACTACTTCACGATATGGATGATACTATCGTGAATTCCAGGGATAAGGTTTTGACTACAAAGAAATGTGCCTGGCTGCCCTTTGATACTCGGGATGAGACATTCCAAATGACCCGCCAAACCCGTCCGGCCCAGACACTTCTGAGATTTGACGGCTATTTTGATTTACATCAGCTACATCATTCGACATAAAGTTCAAAAAAACCCCGGCGCAACCAAAAGTCCTTTCCTTCTTGCCCTCTGCATCGCGTCATTGATTTAACTTTGTGCATGTCACAAGGTTATTTTGTCAGCACCAATCGGGGCACGAGGCATTCCATTATTCTCAATTTAGGCATCTTATGCCGGATCCCGGAGCAGAATGATAAAGATCAAAAATTCCTTGACATTTAATCTTATCAAAATGGATCACGTGACAATAAACACAGGTGAAATATGCAGGGCTGCGCCTACGCATGATGCAGTTAATTCATGATCGAACACGGGACCCTCCCTCTCGTAGTTTCGGCCCGGATGTTGGACGCATCTAGCCAGTGTCAAAGGTGAGATCCACTTCAAGTATGACAGATACTTGGCACTAAGAACAGATTCATGTTGACTATCCTATCAAACATGTCTATCACCTCTATTTTTATGTGCAACCCAGTAATCTAAAGCTTCTATCATTTGAGGTATCCTCTCCCAGAATTTGGGGGTGGCTGCTTAAGCCAACTGTCCTGTGAAATTCCATCACAACTTTGTTCCATCTCCGTTCAAGTATGTCGCTGTCGTAATCATTATAAAAACATTATTAAAGCTGAAAGTAACCCCGTCTAGTTGACGAGCTTGGGGAGGGCCGCCATGACACCCTCCTTGTCAATGAGCTCCATTGCGCTCGTGAGCTCGTCAATGAAGCGCTTGTCGTTGCGCAAGTCGTCACCAAACAGCACCTTGATGCTGAGCAAGGGGCGAGGGTCATTGCCACCCTGCTTGGCCAAGGCCTGGAGCTGCTCGCGCATGGGGTCGTCAATCTCGAACGCGTTGCCAGCATTGTCGACTCCGCGGATGTAGTGGAACCAGCCAGCAAGGACAAAGCAGAGGCGCTTGAAGGGACCTGTCACCCAGATCTGCTCGGCAATAGAAGGCATGATGAACTGGGGAATCTTGCCCGAGGCGTTCAGGGCAACACGGGGAATCTGATCCATGATGGTAGGGTTGGAGAAACGCTCCATGAGGGTCTCGCAGTACTGGTCAATGTTGACACCCGGGATATCCGGCAGCAGGGGCTTGACCTCTTCTTGCATCATTTGCCAGACAAACTTGCGGTAGACGGGGTGCTCCATGACCTCGTGGATATACTTGAAACCAGCAAGTTGTCCCGGGTAAGCCATGGCGGAGTGACTGGCGTTGAGGAGTCGGAGCTTGTGCTTCTCAAACTGCTCAACATCGTGCACATTGTTAACAACCTGGACACCGACCTTCTCAAATGGCGGGCGACCATCGGAGAACTTGTCCTCAACGACCCACTGCATGAAGGGCTCGGTGACTACGGGCCACTCATCGTCAATGCCAAAGTCCTCGGAAAGCGACTTGATGTCATTGGGAGAGGTGCTAGGGGTGATGCGGTCCACCATGGCGTTAGGGAAAGCCCCCTCCTCAGCGATCCACTTTGCGAGCTCCGGGTTGCGGAGACGAGCAAAGGACTCTAGCATGTGGCGGGTAATGGAGCCGTTCTTTTGCATGTTGTCGCAAGACAGAACGGTAAAGGGCTTCAAGCCAGCTGCGTGGCGCCTGGCCAATGCGGCGTAGAGGAAGCCAAATGTGCTGACGGGCGAGTTCTCGTTGGCCAGATCGTGCTGAATGTCTGGATGCTCAGAGGTGAGCTGGTGGGTGTTTTCGTTGTAGTAATAGCCACTCTCGGTAATGGTCAGGGATACAATGTGAGTGTCTGGGTGAGCCATTTTGGCAATTACAGCTTCCCGGTCATCAGGAGCGAAGAGGAAGGAGTTGATGCTGCCAACAACGTTGGCAAAACTGCCCTTGGCGGATCGCTCAATGACAGTGTACAGGTGGTCCTGGGCAGCCAAAACGTCGCGCATGGCAGCATCGTTGGGTCGCAAACCGACACCGCAAATGGCCCAGTCGCGCTCATTGTGGTGTTGAAGCAGTTTGTCGACGTAGACAGCCAAGTGCGCTCTGTGGAAGCCACCGACTCCTACGTGTACAATACCCTCCTTGACGTCATCTCTGTTGTAAGTAGGGATCTCCACTCTGTGCTCGCCCTGTTGCGAGGAGATGGGAGACAGGTTTTTGCTCGTAAGCTTGAAGCGTTCTGTGCTGATGGCCATTTTGCTCGCTGTTCTGATGCTGGTGATGGTAGAAATTTGATATGTAGAACAGATACAGAAGAGAAACAAGATAGATACGGCACCTTTTTCCAAAATAAACAATCAGGAGAACAATACAAAGCTCACCGCTTACTCCGGGCCGCAGGCTTTTATGAAGCGACCGAAGGGTCAAAGTTTTGATATTATGGGCCCGGTGACGTTTTTGGACTGGACCGAAGAACGGCGTCATCGGCTCCGCCGCCACTGGGAAAAGTTCGCGAAGCACGTCCCCCATGGGATTTGTAGCTATGGAAGCTATGAATTCTAGTCTCTTCTATAGAAATCGGGTCTCGACTCTCAACAAGCTGCTATCTCGGACCTCGATATGGCCGTGGTCATGCCAATGGTTTGCAACACCATGCTAGAACCCCTATTTCATTAATAAAATCATCGTGGTGAAATCCAGGGTACTCCAATTTTCAAGACACGTGACAATTCAGCAGGGTATGAACCTTAACCCCTGCCCAGCAAGAAAGACTTTCCCTAGGTACGAAATACCTTGCACCAATACGCCATGATTAGTTGAGCACGTTTTGCCAAGTCTTCTCCCCCAAATCCACGTAGCGTAGCGCCATGGTTCGGTGCCCTCAGCTTTTGGTGGTACAGGCACGTTTTTCTTCAGCTGGATATAGGGGTAAGAAAAAGCAACTATAGATTTTGTATTATATGCCTTCTACCACATGATCAATATCTGTGCTCTGTATCCAATACTATTCGACTTGGGACTGATCCGAGCTCCTAGCTATTGGAAGCTATTGCCTGCTAGCAAAGTTGCCCACGGCACCCTCTCTTGTCACAACGGTTCCTTTGCCGCAAGTCCAGTCTTCAGCCTTAAATCCGTCGCCTAAGAAGCTTCCGCTGCGACCCCCACCCACCCATTGACTGAACACGACTCTGCTAGCTCTTCAGAGTCTTCACTGTGCATACTAGTGTTCGTGTAGTACCTACCTACCTAGGAAGTACGCAGCTTTGGGGAGCGAGAATCTTTTGCAAATCTATATTTTACCAATGTTGGCTTTTCTTCATGGCCGTGGCATTACCGTTGTTGTATCTACACAGTACTGCGCAAGCCCATACCGCGATTACAGTGGGTAGCATCATTTGCCCATGTCGCCACATTGGTTACGGTCAACCCGGCCGCCTGACAGAGTGCACAAGTTTTCATGTGAGCTTTCCGTATCTACCTTGCTACCAGGTGCCAGCCGGTATCTACCAAGCTATCACATAAATCAGAAAAACAGTACTGGGTTGTGGAATTTGCACCATTCCAGTACTTCAGAGGAGGTAGATGCACTACACTACCTACAGACCAAACGTGGGGTTATGGATATGCGCAGAGCCGCGATCTAAGCTGCCGTAACCTTGCTTTAACATCCACATTACAGCGGGACTTGTCAGCCCAGCGATGGAGACGGCACCGCTGTGACATCAGACGGGCACTATAGTGACGTATCCACTACAGTATGGTCCCTCCAGCCCATCTTGAGCGACCTGAGCAGATGGAAGTTTCGCGACATTGCTCCTGGCTATCATTTACATGTTGCGATTGCAGATGCAGGCTTATTATGTACAATTGCCTTGCATATCGTCGGAGTGCATTGTGCATGCACAGGACAATTGTATGTCGGTATGCTTCCGACGACACTGCACATGGCAGCAGCAGCAGCAACGGAGCCAATTTAGCTTGGACCCTGCACGACAGAAGTATGATCTGAGACGACCCCTACGTGCTAGCGATTGCGCAATCGAGGCTTCTTCGGACAGTTCCCCCATCCGGCAAGTAGCTATTGATATATACACGAGACAAGACCAATAGGAAGAGAATCTCCAAGCAGCCTTATCTGGCAAGTCTGGGCGACGATATGTTCAGGGCCAGGAGTATGGTAAGCTTCTCGGAACAAAAAAGAAATTGTGGGCACGGGATGATATCATCTAGCCGCTGATCGCCCATGTATCGGAAGTAGCATGGATATTACTATACTAGTATATATGCTCTGTGCCAATGGCTATTGTGGTTCCTTTGTGGGCGGTTTCTCTCACAGTATCAGATACAACTCCACTACGACTTAGTCATGAAGAAACCTCATTCGATTGAGCAGAGTAAGGGAGGCATACAACCCAAAATAAAAGCTTGATAATGCCATATCTTGAGATGTTGTATTCGCCATGGCCCAACGATAGGTGGAGGGCATTCAGGTGCTACCATCAAGTAAACCGCTACTGCACCACCTCTACGATGATCTAGCATGAACTGATGACAATAAGAGTATTGCTGAAGGTTATATCAGTAGCTTCACCGTTTCGACCACGCAAGAGGAGCCTTTTCGGGGTGCAGCATCTGGACCAGTAGGACCATTGCAGATTCGGTCTCGATAAGGTAAAGAACGCGCCGACGAGCCGCCTCGATTGTTTCCACCTCAAACGTGACTGGATCTACCCGCCAGTCGCGGAAGATGGACGCAATGGTTGCCACAAACTCGACGTGAGAGAACTTTCTTCCGGGACAATCTCGCGCTCCCTTGGACCAGCCTACAAACGAGCCCCGCCTTGGCTTCAGGAACTCTTCGTCATCAAGGGACTGGTAGTTCAAAGGAGAAACGTCGGAGCCGGATTGCGATGCAGCCGGTTTGATGAACCGAGATGGCCGCCAAGTAAGCGAGTCGGATCCCCACCACCTCGGATCGGTTTGCAGGGAGCTGTAAGTCAAACACATCATGGTGTTTGGAGGAAGGACGAGGGTCTTGTCTCCAACATTCAATGTCTGCGTCTTACCTGCTGTCCACTTGGTGACTGGCACTGGCGTGTACAGACGGATACTCTCGTACAATATAGCAAGACAACGCTTCAGCCGCGGAAAGTCTTTATTATAGTCCCACTGCTCTGGAGGTCGGTCACCCAGTACATGGCGAAGCTCCTTTGCGACCAAATATTGCACCGAAGGATTAGCTGACAGGAAGTATACAGCAAAGGTGAAGACATGAGAGGAGGGGTCATTTGGCCGGCAAAGTTGATGACAAAAATGTTGCCGTATATTTCGCGCTCGGTCAATCCCTCCCCCTCTTTCGCATCCAGTGATGCTTTGGCCAGGGAGGTCAGAAACGTGCGGCTCCCATTTCCTCCGGGCGCAATTGTGGTCGCCGTAGGCATCAGGGTCACCCATAAGTTTGGTGATGGCGGTACGGACTCGAGCTTTAGACACGGAGTTGGAAGCAGCAGAAGAATTTTTCTTGACTCCCACACGTTTCAGGACCTGGACGAAATCAGAAGGAATTCCGATAATCAAGTCGTATCCATAATATGTAACCTTGAAGCCTCCAGGAATAGGGATGGTCTTCTTGTAGTCTGCAAAAGAAAGAACAGTTGGCATCAGCGCCGTAGCAAAACTGGGGCGCAAAAGGGTAAGATACTTACGGTACTTGTCCTTTGCGTAGGCATAATAATCGCGATCGTCGTGACGCGCGTAATTGGAAATTTGACGCGGATGGACTTGGTTGACACGCTGATACAGCAAGGAAATTGAGGTTGTACTCAGTGGAAGCGGCGACAGAACTGTAGTCTGTGCTAGATTGTTTGTATATAGGTAGTCTGATAAACGGTGCTTGACTTGGCTGGAAACAGAATGAGGAGAGACTGGACGATTGGGACTGTTGCAAACGGTGCAGTTTTGAGGTCCTGAATTTTTGGGGGTCCGTTTGCAGAGGGCGGGGAAAACAAAAGAGAGAGAAAGACTCGCCAACCCGGAAGACGCCAGCTTGAGATAATGGAGCTCGGAAATGGGGGAAACGAGGCGCGTTTGCTCGGCGACGAGGTAAGTTTGAAAAGAGGACGATTGCCTGTTTGCAAGGTGACAATCTTCGGTGCAAGAAGAAAGATTCACAGCGATTCAGCAAACGCCTTTTGTGATTTCACAAGCACACAAGTAGAGTACAAAATTAACCACCACTACTACCCCTCGCCTCGTCGCAGGCATCTTCATTACATCGATAGGCACCCCTGATTGCCATGGCCTATCCTAAGAACGCTTGCTTGTAAAATCAAAATACCAATCGCTTGTACTCCATGTCCAGCCCTCATCCCGAGGGAGGTCAAAATCAATCCATCATTCATCCTACTAATCTGACTCGTCACACTCGTCATAGCCATCGGAGTCGTCAGCTTCGTCAGACTCATCATAGTCATTGCACTCATCTGACTCGTCATAATCGTCAGAAATGCAGACCTCGGCCAAGATGGCTTCGTCATCGTCCTTAAAAGTCACCACAGTCTTCGACTTGGCCGCGTCGCGTCGGACAGTGGTCAGGGTGGGGTCCCAACGGCTGTAGACCTTTGCATTCCATGGCCTCTTCTGAAAGGCGGCACCCAGAGGACAGTCATCGGCAAGCTCCGCTTCTTGGCGCAGGATTGCCTCGTCGTCCTCGGAAATGCGCAAAAGAACGCAATTGTGGAGGCCGAATTGGTCAAGGTCACCTATAAACTTGGTGATCGCTGTGTGAACTCGAGCCTAGGAGACGGCATTGGTAGAATTGGTAGAGCGTTTGTTGGGGATTCCAGCATTCTTCAGGTGTTGAGCTAGCTCAGAGGGAACGCCGACAACAAGGGCGTCACGGATGGCTGGAATCTTAAAGCCTCCTGGGATGGCAATGGTCTCCTTATGCACTACAGCAAAATAATTAGCATCAATACTGTAGCAAATTGTCCATTGGAAGTGTTGAAGACTTACTGTACCTTTCCTTGACGTAGCCGTAGTAGTCGCGATCATTTCCACGTGCGTACTTGGGTAGCTTGACGTGAACAGACATCGTAGATGCGAGTAGTCCAGTGGTTAGATGGGGTTTGTATGCTGTTAGGAGAGAGACAGGGCTGTGGTCTGTCACGAGATCGCGTTTTCTTTGAGGTAGTAACAGAAATAATGTCTGTACCAAAGGGCGTTTGCTATGTAGTCTGGCTGATGATGCGAGACTCGATTGGAAGCAGGATCAGGAAGGGATGAATAGTAAAGATGGCTTCAGAAGCTGCAGAGGTGCTTATGGTAATCTGTCTGGGATGGGGAGCTTGCTGATGGAATGAAAAGAGGAAGAAAAAAAAAATCGGGAGAGTTGCAAGAATTGGGCAGGCATTTATAGTAAGAAATCCCTTCCCTCACCAGCTGGCGATTGTCAAGCCAGCCACTGCCCGCGCAGCCGCGTAGGCTCATCAGGCAGTGTGAACTCTGCTAGGTGTCGAGGCAACGCGATAGTGCCGGGTGGTGAGGCAAAGTGAATACTGCCGAAGCGGTGAGCCTTGCCGCGTTTGTCATCTGAACTTGGAGGTGGCCTCGTTTGTTGAGTAGCATGAGGTCTAGCTTCATAAGTCGCGCACCCCGAAGAGAGCTTTAACAAGATTTACTGAAATTCAACGATAATATTACAGTTCGTTCACAGTAACTGAGACCCAAGGATAGGATGGCATGGCAAAGTGAAAGAAGAGGTTGGTTTTACCATCGTGATGGTCCTTTATTTATCATCGTGGTTCAACCACAAGAGCATTGTAACAGATTGTGGCCCTGAGGACTCCGGTCACGATTCCTTTCCTCTCCCAAATACCGCGGACGCCCTCGCCCAACTTATTCACCACAGCCTGGACATGGACTGGCAGAATCTCCTCACCCTCGAAGTCCTTCTATATGACCAGAGTCTTGCCGTTATCTAACTCAAGTGTGGTGTTTGTTGGCTCCCATGAGTGGGACACCTTGGTGACCCAGTCGTTCTTCTTAATCACTAGGACCAGTGTGCAGTCGTTGGCCAGGTTTTCGTTGACGCGGATGATGTCCGCCTCTTCCTCCGTGACGTCCAAGAGGACGCAATGGGACGCAATTATGCAGAATGTAGTCATCGAATTTGCCCATGAAGTATGGTCGACTGGAGTCCAATGGGGCCCTCTTTCCTGATACGATTGGCGGAGCCTGCCGGAATGGCGACAACCAGATCGGATGTGTAGCCGTGGATCTTGAAACCGCCCTCAACAGGAGAACTATCAAGACGACCTACAGCAAGATTTTACCATTAGCACTGGGATGATTTGAAGCAATAGAGCAGAGCGAGGAGGAATGGAGCTTACAGCGTCTGTCATGGATGTAACCATGATAGTCGCGTTTGTCGCGACGAGTGTAACTCTTGTTGCGGATAGTCTGGGAAGACATTGTGGCAAGTCGGTACAGCACGTAGATGGATAAAGATGTTCAGAGGGATGGAACTCAGTGATTTGTAAGGCTGTGAAACATGGTGTGTGATGTTTAATTATGTTCGATTCGATTGAAAGTCTTGTTGTGATGGGCGAGAAGAAAAGAAAATAGAAAGTTGGGAGAGCTGGAACTTGGGACATTATCAATAGTAAGAAATCCGCGTTCCCCACCAACTGGCGATGGTCAAGCCAGCCAGCCGTTTGCACAGCCTGCGTAGCCGCGCGAGCTCGCCAGGTAACGTGAATTCTGCCAGGTGGTTAAGCAGCAAGTATTCTGCCGGGTGGTGAGCCTGTTTGTTTATGGCGCGGTACTTTTTCATCTGCTGTGTCCCGAATCACCGCGTTGGCCATTGATGCTTTGATGCACTGATGGTTTACTGAGTCGTATGTGGTTAATCTCCTCGTTGGTAACGAGTCACCAAGAGAAGGCCCACGAAATTTCAAAAGCTTCCAGGATTAAAATAGGGAAGGAGACCTTTTGTATACTGTTCGCAATATCCAACTCGATGCCCCTTTTACCTAGTCAGTCTAGGATCCTAGCTATGCCTCGCGGTGCCTTTTTTTAAGAAACAACATCCCGTCCTCCATTTATGTTGCTCTGTCTGGTGTTCTGATAGAATAGCCTAGACCAAGACAAGTACTGTGGTCGTTCTTGAGGATAGTATTGGTAGTAGCCTTAAATGCATCGTGTGTGACAGTGGTAAAAATGGGTTTCCAGCGGCGATAGACTTTTATTGCATCTGGATGATTATTAAACTGGGCCAGCCCTCCGAAAGAGCTCGTCCACAAACCGAAATGTGTTTCTACTCCTTTGACTTCCGGTATAACGAAATTAAGGAGGACTAATTAATTACGCTGTTCCATGAAGTTGTTGATAGAAGAACAATACGAGCCAAAGAGCCGATGCTCAAAATCGGCTTCGGAGAGACCCCGACATTCTTCAGCAGCTTCGCAAACTTCAGCGGAACGGAATCAAGAAGATCATCTTTTGGGCCGTAGATTCCCTCAAACAGCCAGCAGGAATGGCAATACATTCACTGTTTACTACAGGAAAGTCAGATTGGTACTGAGATAGAGTGGGAGCGAACTAAGCTGATCTCACCTGAGCCATCGATGTTCGAGAAAGCATTAAAAGATGTCCGAATTGATCTGTGATCTGCAAAAGAGAGTGCTGAAGATCTATCTGATATATCAGAGCAGGTAATCTGCAGTGGGTACTGACTACATCAGTGCAATAGTTGGATGCATACTGTATTTGTCGTTTATAAAGAGCATAGTTGCAACGACCATCCCGAAGACTGTAGTGGGGCCCAGTCCTTGAAAGTGATGCGATTCATATGCCTCTCATCAAATCGTGTCCAGGAGACCGGGCCGTGTCCGTGATTGCAGTTCACATGGGGATGCTGACCCAGGATCGATACAATGGATTGGAAAAAAAAGTGAAGCTGTGAGGAAGAGGATTGAGATTCTTTATATAACATGGCTAACCACAGAAAAGTCCTGTTTTATAGGCCATATTTCAAGGAAGGGAAACTTGCCTCTGTATACACTCCTTGAGCTCGCTTGTTGTCCAGTTGCCAAGCTTATGCTATCCCTTTTAACCAAGCAAATATCAACATTACCTAAGGGCATCTCGGCGTTTCAAAATTTGTTTGGACTTCTGCGTGTACACACAACACTGCTTGTTACGTAAAGAGAGAGCGACCAGGCCAAGCGAAAAGCTCCGAAATACAACGATGGCTGATAGAGTAAAGTAACAGTTTTCACAAAAGGGGAAGGGCATCAAATATGACTGCAGAGTCGGCTAAAATAATGATTCATGTTTAAATGCGGTTGCAAACATTCCCTTGTGGCGTTCACGGGAGATGTATGTGCAGGTCCTAGAGTCGAGACGTGGAGGGCCTGCGCACCAGCGGGAGGCCCTTGTCTTGCTCCTTATCGAGATAATGGAGATGATTAAACTAACGCAATAAAAAATTTCGACCACCAAATGCTCGACCGCATAGACTCCATCGGGAGGGACATGATTCGGTGTGGGCACCATCGTGTCTAGCCAGGTGATCTGGCTAGCTAAAGCTACATCCACAAGTGGTGCATATAAGGACACGGTGTGCGACTGTTTGTGTTGACCTACCGGGGAGCGGGGTACGTGAGGCATGTCTGCGCATGGAACTCGGAGAGAGGACAAGTTCTCTTTTTTCGGTTCTGAACAATTTTTCAGCTCCCCCAGAGATAGGATACGGCGACATAAGCTGGTTTCTTTGGTAGCAGGGAAGTGGTAGTAAGAGTTAAGTCATTTTGTCCGCAGGATGGCAGCCCAGGTTGTACATCGACCCGACGTGCCGGATAGTTGGTCTGCGTTGAGACCCGCATACAGGCGTGACGCGTATCGCAATGTCTCAGTAAAGTGCGAAGCCATCTGAAATCGACCTTGCTTTCCAGGTCTTTCGAGGCAATGGCTTGGTTTGGTGCAGCTGCCTTGACGCGATCCAATCTGATGGAGTGACCTTGGGCGAAATATCTTGATTAGCCACCGTCTCCTTGTCTGGTAGGTGGGCATACTACCTCGAAATAGAACTTGCTCGCCCGGTTTGCATATTTCCCATTCATGGCGAGAGGTCCTGCTCGACTGCAACCCTGTTCCGGTTGTCACCCGGAACTCTCCCTGCAGGAATCTGCAGAAATGGCATCTCTGGGGATTAAGGGTATGTTTCTGGGGATGTTTGTTCCGGCGTAGAATCTTGCTCGAGTGTAGGAAAATGATGCAGGCCTTGCAGGGCTTGACCACGGATTGTGGAGGGCAATCTTTCATGAAGGCCTCAGCAAGCTTCACATTGACGTCAATCGGTTTCCAAACCAGATGGGGGACTCGATAAGAGACCTGTAATAAGCAGAGGATTAGTTTTGGGACACAAAGAAAAACACGGAGGGAGCCGAAGATCAATGTATATCAAGCCTTAGAGGCGCCTGCTTATTATGCTTGTATTTGTTCTTTATGCTGTCTTCAGCCTGTTTTGCCTTGACTTCTAAGGCATCTGCAAGTTGCGTGATGCCTTTGATGAAGAATAACCCAAGGGGGAAAGCAGCTGCAGCACCGGCTGTGAGGAGTGCGATGCCGCTCCCTCCAGACCCTATGATGAGAAGCTTAGCAGAACGAGCCGTCAAGTCAGCAGTTCGCTCTAAAGTCTCTTGCTTAGGCTTGTATCTCTCATCAACTGTGTCATTTTCCTTAGCGCAATCTCCAACTGGTGTAGATGTAATGGCCGCCATCGGCAGTCAGAGCCCGGGAGTCACTTGAGTGGACTATAATCGTGGCTTTGAAGGCTTTGAAGGCCCTGCTGACCACATGCACGATAGGAGTATACAACACACAATCGGCACCCATATCAGGCCAGGCCAATTAAACCCCAATAGGAAAGCACCACCTTTATCGGCAATTATTTTGTAAGCAATTATGTTCCAACTAGGCATTTTGCGTGGCTAATTTGTTAGTATTGATTCATTCTTCACTAAGTTCCATGTTTACTCTCATCATTGAACCAATTGCTCACCTATACCTCCGGTGTTCAGCGGCTGAATCCGACCAGTAAAAGCCATCAGCTGGATCATCGAGCAATGGAATGCTTACGCCGTACATTTCCTTGACCCTGAAACGCCTGCAGACCCTGAACGGTGCATTATTCCACAAAGAGGGATCATCCGGATTCCAGGGTAGATGTATATCAAACCGCTCCAAATGCTCCATCACAAGCAGTGGCGCAAGCATGCCTCTTTCCATTTTGATAAATTGTGCTCTTCCATCGCCAGAAAGCCAAACCACGATCAGCAACGTCCGCATATGCGTTAGTTTGACGAGCTCAGTGCAGACATTGTTCCACTGCGCTTCAGTCTCAGGTGCTGGAACATCCAAGCTAATGTCCCAGGCTTGAGGATGGCTATCATAATATTGACTCACACCGCCAAATAGGTGCCATCCGACTTCAATGTGTTGCATAGAAGCAATGTGCTGCTTGGGAAGCATTGTGTCTAGCGACGTGAGTGCTAATTTCGAGCTTGCTTGGCCAAAGCCGAAGCAGAACGTGTTGTCAGAGTAGAGGTATGGGATGGACTCCATATATCTAAGGCAGAATAAAGTGAGTATTGCTTCATTCTTAGACCGGCATGTCAGGGTGTATATGACATCAATTTGGGGGCATACATACGCTGCTCGGCAAACCAGTGGGACTCTCAAGAGTCCTATCTGTGTCCGCCACTGATAATCATTGGACTCAAACATAGATTGCCTCAGTCGGCCACGATGTACAGTCAGGTGTACTTTGTGATTTCCCATGGCATGGCGCCAAATTTGCGTGCGTAATTCCGGCGGCAGCCGGCGAAACAGTAATGATTTCGACTGCGCCTTTTGGAGTGAGCCGTCAGCTGCGGCGGCAATGAGCCTTTCCTCTATTGATCGCGTGTAAGGTACACTCCAATCCCGGGCGTCAAATATGGGCTTCTTTTCTATTGGAATCGCCGCGTTGTAGATGTGCGTATCAGGATGTAGCTTCTTGTGCATCTCCTCAATCTCGCGCGGCGTCAAAGGTTCTCTCGGGAGTTTGGCGCCCCGATACTTGTACTTGGTATAGGTATCGCTCCCGAATAGCTGTTTCAGAAAATTCATGTTATAGGTATGAGGCGATTACAGGTTCGACAAAATGAATAAATGGAGTGGGAAAGAATATCCGTCGTGTTGGCGTGGGGTGCAATTAAGTCTCTTCTTGTTGTAAGATGCTACATTAGCCAAGTCATCGCCAAGATACTGCCCGTTAATGTAGGTACTAGTCTAGTGTTTGCCTAAGCCCCGCTACCATCAGCCGCAATGGGCGCAGTAGGCGACGACCTCAGCCTGGTAGGATCTGTTGTTTCTAGGCTTAAGCGCAGCAGCAAATTCTCGCTGCAGATCCAAGTCCGTTGGGGAAGTCTTCCCTTGCGAAATTTCCGTCCTATCTTGAACATGAACCTTGGAACTACGCTGGAATAAAATAATGGTATCCGGACTAAGGATTTGACTGCATATGTCGTGTGCGGTGATGCTAGAAGATATTTCCATGTTTTCCACTTTCCAGCAGCGAAGCTCTATGCCTAAGGTTGCCTGGGCACTAGCGAAACGCTTTGCAGACCTAATCCAGGCCCGGTAAAGCGGGCGAGGGCTAAGCTCGTCGGCACCTTGTAGCGTCCAATACAAGTTGCGCGCTTTTGATTGATCCATCCGCCCTCTAGTGTTCTGCCACCACTTGCACCGTCCTTTCTACGCTGTAGTGATAGAAAAGGAGAGTGTTTCAACCTGGTCGGTCTGGATGGTAGGAATGTGCATGTAGTGCAACAATCACAGCTTTGACAACTTCAGACTTGCCAGAATGACGACCCAAGCGGACGCTCAAGATCCTTTGGCCGGTCTCGGCGAGATTAACTGGTCGAATCTCGAACACGCTTATGGTTCGGCCGAGGACATTCCCCCTCTTGTACGAAAATTGAAGTCTTCAGACAAAGAGGATATCACTTCGGCTTATGGCGTTTTATATACCAGCATCTTCCATCAAGGCAGCCGGTACTCGGCCTCGAGCGCTGTAGTCCCATTTTTATATCGACTTGCGATCTGCCCGGAAACATTATGCAGAGAAAATATCGTTCGTCTCCTCACGCGTTTGGCCATTGGCGAGCCAACGCACCACTGGCTTCGAGGCATTGATGTCAAAGGATGGCGCGAAGACGTTGCTACATTCCAGGCCACCGGCTGGTGCGAAGAAGAGAAGACTCGACGTCTTGAGTGGATCAATGAAGGCGCCGACGAGGACGATCGCAAGAGGCGCAAGTTGCGGTCCATTTTGTTCCCTTCCCCCGAAGAAATCGTCAAGTCCAGTGTTGCCGAGCTTGGCGTATATGATGCCGTCAAAGACGGTCTCCAACACATCATCGATCTCTTGAACGACGACTCCGTGGCGATCCGACAAGAAGCTGCGTACGCATTAGCATGGTTTCCTGAGGAACTAGAACGAATCCATCCAGCGTTGTTTAATCTCATCGACAGCGAGACGAACCCAGTAGTCCAAGCCACTGGCCTAATCGCACTTGGTCAACTACAAACTAGGTCGGAGGGCGGCATTGACGACACTCCCGTTGTGCGATGCCTGAACTCCGTATTTGCACAAGGTCGCGGGTCGGGCCTTAGCCGCTGGGCCAGCGCTATAGCACTCATCATGCTGCACGTTTCTCAACCCGAACACGTCAACGAGGTACTGCGCAAGCTAAAGGAAAATGATTACCTCCAAGAATACGAACCTTGGAATCTCGAGGACGTGAACTTTGAGTTTGCTGATCCAGATTTGGCCTCTCTCGCCACGATGTCGTTGAGAAACTTGACCCGAGCAAACAGCCAAGGCTCTGAAATGGTCATTATAGAGATCATCCCGGCTTCCCGTGGGGAGACGACCCTTGTCCTTGCGGAAATCGGCCTCAAGTTGGTTTTTGAAACGCCGGCATCTGAGCCACTCACTCCGGAAGGTCTGATACATGACCAGCGGGAACTCATCCGGGCACTCACCAAGGTGGATAGTTTTAACTGGTCTTTCGCGAATTTTCTCTCGATACTAAGCGGTTGGGCTTTGCCGACGTCTTTACAAAAATTGAAAGCTTTAGTGGGCGAGGAGTGATCAACGACACGTTTAGCTCGTGTTTTCCCATTAATTTTAAGATATAATACACGATTATTATATTTTGGTTAAATGAAATAGAACAAGCTTATATAAAAGATTGGAAAATAATATAATTAAAATCGTAAAATGCACTATGTCCCGTGTCAAATTGCAGTCGCCTACGCCCAAGCGCCAGAATGGATTCTAGAGAGCTAAATAATGATATGCCGAATAGGGATTTCATTCGCAGGTGAGGGAACGTTTGATAGCACCCCTGAGACTTCTCTATATGGAAGGCACATGTTGGCCATACAGAGATTCAGTAGCACTTACGGCTTATGTACGATGCAGGACAGGCCAGGGCATCGTTGGATGATATGACCAATGTGGCGCGTGTATGGTGTTGCAGCAGTGGCTTGCGCCTCGGGTAACCAAATCGGTAGACTACGAAATGGGAAGATTGCCCCACCATGTTGATTCTGTATTTAAGATGTAGACAAGCAGATTTGGACGTCTACTGACATATATGTACACATTTGGCAATCACTTGTGATTCATTCCAACTAAACTTTGGACCGTATTCGACTTCCCACTTTTTGATCAAACAATACCCTGACAAGCCGCATTCGGGTCGAGGGGGTTTCCAATACTAATGCCGAAATATTTCAGGTGCGCAGCATTAATCCCCCTCCCGCCATTGCCAATACCAATGCCAATCTCGCTCTGGTTACAATCCGACGGCTCTTGCCCCTCGCACTGAAAAGTGTTCTGGTCCGTGGGTGGATCTTCGCTTTGCCAAAACTCGGTACTGTGGTGTCGATACCCATCGTCCTGGGACGGGATCTGCGGTACGCCATCGTTGGCGTGCGTGACGCGATACATGGTGCCGGGAAACAAAGTATCGATGAAGTCGGCATAGTTTGGGTCTCCCGTTCGCGGCTGGCCGTATGTATAGGGCGTGAGGCTCAGCCCTTGGCCGGCGAGTGACGCTGCGGCCAGGGACGCCAATGCACCGCCCATGCTATGACCAGTCACTGTCAGGTTGTAGCCTTGGTGCTCTGCCATGCCGGCATCGATGGCGTTCTTGACTTCAGTTGCGACTGCATTGTATTGTCCCAAGTATCCTTGGGAACACTATTGATTTTGTTGTTAGTAAGTGCCAATATTTACAGTTTTAGAGAATCGGCAATGACTTACTAGGCAGCCAAGACACTCCAAGCCAGGTGCGACGCAAGAGATTAGGTCTTGGTCTAGGTCTGTTAAAAAGTCCTGAACATCCGACGTGCCTCTGAATGACAAGATGTATTCTTCTGCAGCATCATCTCTGAACAGAGTCGCCTGTGTGCTGGTTGGTATGTCGTTGAAATAAGTCTCGACTGAACTTCCGAATGGTGGTATGGTACAGTCAGAGCTATATGCAGCCGAAGCAAAGGCAGCATAGCGTTCTAGTAGTGCAAGTAGTCCCGAGTCAATGGGAGTCTTGGCAGCGGACACTATTCCGGCCAAGATCAAGGTAAGAAGTAGTGTATAATGCATGGTTGAGAGAAGCGCGAAGACTCGAGCTGAGTCTATGGGTTATTGGTGAAAGTCATTGTTATTGCATTTTATATATACTCTGCTCACATTCCAAACAGTCTTTCGACAAGTATCACATGTGCCTAGGCAGGTTGAACATCGGATCAATCAGACGTCACAACAAAACGCTATGAACCAAGAGATTGAAATGAACAACATTGGGCGCATCAAATTGCGGAGAAAGCATTTCCATCAAAGTCACCATGACAAGAATCCAGATGAACCAATCGCAAAGTCGTGCTGTATCCAGCTAGTTCATACAACGGCAGTTCATTCGACAAAGCTCAGGCCCCCCAGAATGATTCGGCACTTGTACACGGTCAGGTGCGCTATCGCGTAGTGGACTCTGTTAAGCCGGGGTGCTCAATGCGAGAACTCCACAGTATTGTTACATCAAAACACCATCCATGTCTGCTAAGCAGCGACCTTGACAACTACCTGGCCTTTGACGCAATGAACAATAAGGCTCCCAAGAACTTTCCTCCCTTCCTCACTAGACTGGAGTCAGAGCTTCTTTCAAATAAGTGCGTTAGACTGATGCAGGGGTGATGGTTCCCGAGCTCTAAAGATTGAACATGTGAACGTGTGCATGTTGATTGCAGTCTGTCCGTGGAAATCTTTTACTTGGTAATGATCAAGGAGCGCTTGGTCAGAATAACACCGAAATCATCCGGCGATATCAATAATGGCATTACGCACAAACACTGTGATTTCGTCTTGGAAGATTTCGGCCGAAATGATCGGGCAAATCAACACCTTGCGCGACAAGGGCTTCGGTCCCGGCGCGGTGCAGCTCAGGTTAGGGCTAGCTCTGGTCACTTACCCCGAGCCGCACGATGCACCCCGCGATTAACCCTAGACGTGCTCTGAACCTCCACAGCAGACGGACGCACCCGAGTCTACTGTAGAATTAATAAGGCGCTGTCACGGTAACGCCAGATGCAATTAAATCAATCCAACCACTACACAGTAGGCAGGTACAGAGTATATTGGCCCCCTCGCCCCATCAACATGAAGAAAGAACATCCATCGGCGAATTGACTAAATTCGAATTGATCCATACCTATGTACCGATCCTGAATCCGATACTTTTGTTGAACTAGGCTGGGGCTCGGTGGAAGTCTGGACGCCTGGAAACTCGCAAGGAATACCACTCATCCTCCGAAGAAAACTCGCCAAGCTTCACACAGAGACTGGAAACGATGCTCTACACATTCCTTCCGACGACAACATCAGCCTGAGAGGGCGTTTCTCTTCGGCCATTGTGCGTCCCCTCAAACTTCTTGTTCTGGTTTCCGTCATCACTCTCATGGTACTATACTTCGCAGTCGACTACGGCATCATGTATCTGTTGTTCACGACGTTCTCAAATGTGTACGAGGGTCAATACGGACTCACTACTAGTACTTTCAGACTTTCCTACCTTCCAGTCGATATTGGAATGCTCACAGGGTCGGTACCAGGTCGGTGCCGGGTCGGTGCTTTTGGCAAACTTTCCGATCTGTTATTCCAGAAGAATCAAGCCAAAGGCAATCAGTACCGAGCAGAAATTCGGCTAGCTCCTTTGTTCACCATCTTGGTATTGCTATTCCCGCAGGCTTGTTTATTTATGGCTTAGCATCTGATATCGCGGTGCTACGATTGATCGCTGGAGCTTTGCTACCACTCAGTAGACTCCAGATGTATGAGAGCCCGGGTTTGGGTTGGGGCAACCGTTTACATGCATTCATTTCGCTAGGATTGGTGCAGATCCCACTCGCCTTCTACATTTTCGGAGAGGGTCTTCGCAAAGTTTCAAATCATTTGATACAATGGCTGTGATTGTACGTTCCAGGCATAAGTGTAACTAAAATTTCATCTTGTCACGTCAAGGTCCATCCAATACCAAGACAGCCCCAGCCCTCAGACCTGGAGACCTTTCTCTCTTCTTCAACTAATCCTGGTGAGTTCGAACCTCGAATTCATATGGTTATCTCATACCTAGTTCTTTAGACCAAACAATAAATAGAATTTAATATGCACACTTCGCTGGACAGAATTCAAGCATATCCGTTATGTATAACTCGAGATGAAAGGGCACGCAAATGAACGTTTGCATCACCTAAGAGTTGGAATCAGCCTCATGTTTTTTTTTTTTTTTTCATTTGAACGAACCTCCCCGGACCTCCACGTGTATAGCAAAACCTTGGAATATGGTGTTCGCTATCTACTGCAGAAGGCAAGAAACAATAAGATTCACGGATATAGGTGAAAGCAAAGAACGGTGGTTAAAATGGTCTTTATTTCAGTTTTTTCAGTGACAACTGTACCTAGCCGTTGGCTCGAGTCAGGTGGAATACCTTCCTACCTACTTATATATGGAGTCATGAACCAAGTAGCGTAGGTTGGATGTTATGTACTCCGGACCCCGCGTGACAAGCGTACATACTCTAGCCGCCATGGACATGTCAAAATTGTCCGTATTCACCGCTGACTCAGCGGCGGTATTTTGGGAGCCAGAGTTGGGAGGGGAAATTGGCCGAAACTAAGGCGAAGATCAATTGCTCATCACAGCTACC